TTTGGCGTTAGGTTCAATAGTGAAAGAAACATTCTTGATAACCTTGGGTAAATTAGGCGCGTAGCGTAACGATAGGTCATTGACCTCAATTTTACCTTGACTTGGCCATTCGGGTGGTGGGTTATGTGTACTCTGAAAGTGAGGTTCTTGTTCAATGTCCATATACTCTTTCAAACGCTCGACAGAATTCATGTTCATTTCCACATTGGAATAGAGTCGAACAAGCCACAAAGCGCCCTCAGTGAAGTAAATCGCATATGTCAACGAAATACCCGCCAAACCGGAATCCAATTTCGAGATGTTCAACAAAACAAACACACCTGCAGCAAAAATAACAATTGCACCAATCAAGTCTATTCTAAACGCTAACCAACGGTTGGCAACCCACAAGTAAAAGAAAGGCTTATTGTTTTCGTCTATCTTTGACAAATTGGCTTCCATGAAACGACGCTCGTCTCCAAAAGCACGGATTGTCGTGATACCTACCAAAGTTTCAGAAAAGTGTTGATGTATTGGCGAGCGACTCATTGATTCAAACCTTTTCAATTCTCTAGATCCGACCATGTAGAAGTAGGCAACAAAGTAGTACATCAAACCAACGAATATTGCAACAAAGAGAAATCCAGGAGTAATGTAAGCAATTAGTAAAACGGTTGACAAACATTGGATCAAGGAGACAAATGCACCTTCCACGTAAGGTGTTAAATCTTGGTCAACAGCTTCCAAGTCTCTCGAAAAGCGGTTCATGATTCTACCAATGGGTGTGGAGTCGAAAAATCTCAATTTTGCGTATAACACTTTCTTTAAAACGAGATTGAATATTTTCCTTGACGCATTGAGACCTGCTATGAAGTTTATGATGGTCTTAGAAGCGGAAATGACTGCAACAGCTACACCAATGAGGAAGTAAATCGAAAGATAGTAGGCGGTTGAGTGTACGGTGGTCTCTGAGTTGGAAATGACGTCAGGTGTAGATGCCACTGAAGGCGAAATCGACACGGGATCCACTTGGAAGTACATTTCTTGTGCTCCTAATGGGAGGAATGAGCTAACAAGTTTTGAGGAAAAAGCCTTGACCGCACTTCTCTTGATCGCGTCGTAAGTGTTGTGAGACGCCCAGTTACGAACCCATAAGGACTCAGAGATGTGAACACCTTGCGACATCAAAAACACAAAAGCCAAAAATGAGACCATTTTCCAACCACCAAATAACTTTGCATACCACTTGTAGACATCCAGACTAACGACACCTTCGGATTTGGTCTCCTCCTCGATGAGTTTCCCCAATTTGATTTTGTCCTCTTCAGTTGGTAGGTCCTTTTTGGGCAAGGTACTTTCCTCCTCGATCTTGCTGCTCAGTTTGCTCAAATCAACACCGCTTTTGGCTGCCTTGCGACTTAGACTTGTCGATGACGCCCCACGAGAGAGAATGCTAGTCTTGACAAGTTCGTCCTGCCCCAACAAACCCTTGTTGAAAAGTTCAAGGGGTTCGCCTTGATCCTTTATTTTACCATTTTCCATGTACACTACCCAGTCAGCATTTTTCAAAGTCAATGCTACATTGTGAGAAACGAGTATGCAGGTTCTGCCTTGCATCAAAGGTCCCGAAATACAGTTCTCATAGATCCATAGAGCAGTATGAGAATCAACAGCGCTGAGACAATCATCTAACAAGAGATGTCTGGATGACGAGTACAAAGCCCGTGCCAAAGAAATTCTTTGCTTTTGGCCACCTGAGAGTGTGATGCCCTTTTCTCCAATTTCAGTTTGGTCACCAGCATTTAAAATCTCAAAATCGCGTTTTAGCCCACAGGCTTCTACCACTGCATTGTACCTAGCCTCATTATATGGACTGCTGAATAGAATATTGTTTCTAACAGTGTCATTTAACAGCCACGCAGCTTGAGAACAGTAGGCCACAGAGTTCGTCATACCATCGTTTTCCACAATTAGATCTTCTCTGGCGTCCAAGCAAGGAGTGTATACTTTTCCATCTATCAAATCCATCTCACCTAGTAGACCCATAAGCAGAGACGTCTTACCAGACCCGGTGGGACCAAGAACAACATTCAATTTACCAACTTTGAAGTCGAGGTTCAGATTTTTGAGTCTGAAATCAGCATTTTTCATATCCCAAGAAAAGGTAGCATTTTCGAAACCTATTTTGTTGGTACCAACAGTGATTTGTTCGTATTTTTCGGTTTCTTCCTCCTCCAAAAAGTCTTGGACTCTATCTAGAGACACCTTAGACTGGATGACAAAGCTCAACATGTCGGATAACTGATCAAGTGGGTTTTTCAACAGTACGAATAGGGAAAGAGCCGTGAAGGCGATGGGGGTAGTCAAGACTCGGCCCTGCACATATATGTAGACACCAAAAGTCGCAGACGTCACTAGACCCGGGGTAATGAACCAAACAAAACTGGCAAGCGCCCACACGATAGAACGCTTCATAATCAATTTTAGTTCCTGCTCTCTGATATCCTGAACTTCTTTCTCAAAATTCTCTTCCCACGAGAAGAATTTGATAATGCGAATAGCTTGGAAAGTTTCATTTAACTTTTGTATTCTCTTGTCTGTAACAGCCAGAGATTCTTTTTGGTACTTGCCTAACAACGTAGTGAGCTTGAAACTTATTGGAAGTAACGCCACAATTAATGCAGCACCGACCAAAGCCGACCATCCGAGTAGATTATAAAGAAGAATCAATGCTACGACGGTCATGATAGATGCTTCCACGAAGGCATGTAGATAAGCACATATTTCAGAGACTTTGAAGGCATCCACAGACATTAGATTGATGATAGCACCTAGGTTTGCAGTACCGGATTCTTCATCAGCATCTACATTCTCTTTAGAATTCAAAGTTTGTGGGTCGACTTCATCTGTGGTGGGTTTCGAAACATTAGGGGATACTTTTCTCCTTAGCGCTTTGCTATAAATCTCTGAGATTATGATAGCCTTCATTCTAATACAAACCCTTCTGCCAAAGAAAAGAGCTTGGGATTGACATATTGCAACTGCAATCCTGGAGAAAAACATTGCGCACACGTAGAACCACGCCAAATTTTTAGGCGCAGTAGACTGGTCATCGACGTATTCAAGGATCCGCTTGAGTAGTAATGTGGGAACAAAACTTAGAACACTATCGAAGCAAGCCCAGAAACCTTGAAGCCCGAGGTATTTGACAAAAAACCAAAACAGGTTGTGCGAAAGGTTTCTGTCTTTGTTTTTGATGGAGTTCTTATATTTCTTGAGCACGAAAAGAGAGTAATCTTCAAGCATGAGACCCCAAATGTCTTTGACCTTGATAGACTGCTTGTTTGCTTCCCAGATAAAGCCATCGAGCCAAGACCATGTGATAAACCCGAATATGGATGTGACTGGTTCGACAGATGGAGTGATGCCTGCGTCGGTGCGGTAAATGTATGCGTAACTGTTTCCGATTTTAGCGGTAAACAACAACAGGAACAAAGTCAAGTTTAAGTAGAATTGCGAAAGTGTGTATTGTTGTGCGACACGGCCATCGATATGTCCTATCAGATAGGATCTTAGTGGAAGGACCTGCGCACCAAAAAGAACCATATAGGACACGAACGACACGGTCCATAGATTCCCAGGGTACTTACAGATCCAATTGACCTGCTGGTTGATGTTGGCAAGACGAAGGACGACCACCACAACCAACCAAGCCCATAGAACTGTACGTGCAACGATTGCACCTAGGGGAAATTCGCTGGAGTCACCAGCGAAACGCGCCCATACAAACGCGTGGATCGCAAGCTGAGCCAAACATGCTAGAAACTCGAAAACCACTCGCGTTTTCTCAATGAACCCACGTCTTACAACTTGTACGACGCCATGAGGCTTGCCCTGAGCATCTGTGAGCTTTATCTTTTCAATGGAAAAATGATCTTCCTTGAGGGTGACTTTTGTAGTAGGCGTTTCATTGTCTTCATCCCCATCACGGGCCTGATAGGCGGCCCCATTGTGATCTGCTAACAAAGGTTTATGCTCGTCATTGCCATCCACCGCTAGTTCACTTGCATAATTTGGCTTTTCCTGAACTCTTCGCGAGTGTCTGATAATTTTATAGCCTGTAAATGCCACAGCTCCTACTACTAGTACCAATGGAACGTAGTATCCTACAATCCACACACGGTTGCAAGCTGTAATGTCATCGTACACCCATGGTGTGCAACGTGTTGGGATGCTGCTATTTCGCTCCATATCGTGTTGTAGCGTATCGAACAGTGTTCTGATCCCTTTTTGTTAGCTCTTAAAAGGGGGTTTACGCTACTTCACTAGCTTGCTGCTCTCTACTGAGCTTCAAAACTGTTGTTTTAGAGGTAATGTATTTGGGACTTTCAAATTTCGATGTAACGCCTTTTATACCCAAATTTTCAAGAATTAGGGGAAATATCGATATTTTTTTTCAATGCCGTGAGTATATAAGGCAAGAGATGCGCGATGAGCTAGTGACAGCGATGAAGTCAGGGAAGTTATGGGGCTTGAGCGATGTAACAAGACGTTGTATCGCACCGAAAAAGTATGTTACTGATACTCAGTTAGTGTGCACGGTATTATTTACGGCGATTGCTTGCATTGGCCATAGTTTTTCCACCAAACAAGGCGAGGTTCGGCCGAGGGGCATAACAGAAATGAAAGATTTTGATTGCAACAGGAATTGTAACTTTTGGAGCAAAGAAGGGTGTTGTGGGCAATGAGTCATGTCGAAAGCGCGTTAACGGAACTTAATATTGAGTAGTGCGGTGTCGGTGGCTTGTTTCGATAGTCCAATGAAAACAAATTAAGCCTTAGAGTGCGGGATTCAGGAATAACGCCCTAGAATGAGACCGCTGTGAGGGAATCATGCAACATCATAGAAGATAAAAAAAATGGTAGCATTCTCGTCGTCTTTTGCTTCGTTGCCAGGCTTTTCAAGAGCGAAATTTGTCTCAATACCTACAAGCTGCCGCTACAATGTATGACTCAGTTTTCTTCGAATTTCACTCACGACTACCTATCGAAGGTGAATTGAACAAGAATTGGTCTTTGATTTTTTCATCGCAGAGTGCCCATTTCTAGGCTCCTACGAATGTGATCGGTTCAGGAAAATACCCCTCTATGGATCTGGTTTCGTTGAGGTTTTCGTCAACCACACAAAATGTCTACGGCGTGCAACTATATTAGTGCCGTCTTAGTCATGTTTTTCTGTCGCGTGTCACTTGGGATCGGCTTGTGTAGCCTTTTGACTGCGTGAATCCACGCAGTTCTGTTGAAGCGACTCTACTGATACAGCCCGTCCATCGAATTTGCTAAATGGCATGGCGCACATGCAATTAACAAAATTATTATCACACTCAAGGTAAAAAGCTTTCTTGTCCTGGCCACGGACTCTACTTTCAAAGCAATTCGTTCACTTATATGAACGTATTATAATATTTTCTCCAAGGGCCTCAACGTGCGGGTTCACCACTATCATCGGAGTTGCCAAAAAGCTGTTGGTATCTGGATTATCGAACTCAACATAGTTGCTCCGTAAGTTCAATACGGCAATAGATACTTCTTTGTTTCTTTGGTAAACATGAATAGCTTATTGTTTTCGACATCATTGAACGCCAAATTGCAGCCATACATCAAAAGGGCGTTTTGATGTATTATTGCAGTCTCTTGCCCAAAATGCCTTATACCAGTTGGAATTTGGGTGGCCTGTTGGCTTTCCGTGTTAACTTCCACGAAAGACGGATCCAGCTTAAATCGAGGCGTTTCTTCAGAAGTGAAGATTGCATTTGGACTTTCAAAAGCGCAGGACAATGGTATACGCGCGGTAGCTTAAGAAAACTGACACAGCTTCGTGAAATTGCTTCATTTCCTTCAAGTGTTCGTCAGACTCCTGAAGTATGTAATTGTAGTTGCCTCGCAACCCAATATTCTCATATCGGTCTAATATTCAGCCCTTTATGTTTGCTTGACCATGTCCTAACCCTGGTTAACGAATAATGTACCGGTCAGAGACATCTGTGAATTACGCAGCGTTTCTACGGTCGTGGAGCGCTGAGAGCCTGGTCATCATTTTCAAAATAAATAATCGACTAGCAATCGGTGCCATTAGAGTTGAATTTTTTGGCTGCTTACAAGAACACCAGTTACGTTCTGCGGTATCTTTGGATGGGCGAAATCCTAGAACAACTCATGGTTGAGAGAACAATGGGCGATGACTAGATCCACCACTACTTTTAATTTCGAATCTTGAGCTCTTTCGATGAGCACGTAGCGATATTCGTTCGTCGTTTACAGCAGCCAGACCATTTTCGTAGTCATCAACGTTGTAACCAATACCTTGCGGGGGCAAACCGTGGAGAAGAAATTCCCGAGTTGTGTCTACTCCGAGCCCATCGATGTGAGGCGAATTCTCTTTGATGCCTTTGAGGTCTCCTGGGCCGCCTCCATTTGTTTTTCAGAAAGTATCTGGGTGGCTTTTGTTTGAATGCTTCCTTCCATCATTTCCTCTCAGCTTCTGGATGTGAATCCGATATTTAAGAATGGGTCAAACCACCATAGGTCCTAATACTAGACTTTCCTGCTTCTGTCACCTTACGAAGCTATTTTCTGTTCGATTTTGAAAGAACTCATCCATTCTACAACCTTCGAGTGCTAATCCGCTATCATGTCTTCCGAAACTGATTACACAATGTAACTGGCTGATCTGTGAGAATGGCGTAGCCAGAAGTGGTTCTTCATCGAAAAGATGAACCAAAGCTTCTGCTGGGTTCTCTATAAAGTTGGAGAAACCCTCATCGTCACACTAAAACGACGCTCGGAGGTTCTGTTGGGTTAAGCCATTGCACGTAAGTAACGTAGAGCATGGGCTAAGACATCTGGTTGAAATTCAAAAAAAATCCGAGGCACATCCTCATGTTCTTAAATGGCGACTATTTGGGTTTTCGCTGTGTACGCATGGCGAACGATATGTGCAAGCAAAACAATCGAGAAGTCAAGTAACGTGTGTATCTTGAAAGATGGAATCTGGACGGACACCTTCTGTCATGAAATTGAACAAGCGGACGCCAGGCTGCTGTCCATAAGGTACCGTACGCAAGAATCGCCGGGAATCTCTTCTACCAGTGATTTTCTGTCCACTCAACTATAATTCGATGGCTTCTTCTGGAAAACAGTAGGGCGAAGGACGGAGAGATGGCGAAGTAGAATCCGAGTCCACTAACAGGGGCAAAAACATGAAGACACAACTACGGGGAAATTCGTGGGGTTGTTGGAGTCTCTCTCTCTGTAGCACGAACGGGAGGGCCGGGGTCCTGCGTTGTGAACGTACATAATGATAAGAAAAATGTAGCTAGCAGGCGAGTACACTCATGTGTAGGGCTGTGCAGCGAGAAGTGACGCTTTTGATTTAACCCTAATGTTAATTTCGGCTGATGAAGCTAGGCGTAGAATTCATCTATTGAGTCCCCACGCCTCAGTCTAGCCTACACTACGAGACAACATCCCACACTCACACAACTGTGTCGTGTGATGTGATTTTAATTTGTATATGACACATTGGTAAAGGGCGATGAGTTTCATTCATCACTTTGTATTAAGGCGTCTTCATGATAGGCTCCTATATGTATGCCAACAAGCACACCATATTGAGTAGAAATGTTCCCGGTCCGAATTAACAAGATAGTGCTCTCTCAACATACTTGTCCCATATCCACCCTAAAATTCCATCGCGCGACCCACGACCAAACGTGGGCGGGACTCACTATCTTCCTCATCTCACTGAGTTTACAAGGCTGTGTTGGGTGCTTGCCCAATAGAAATCCCTCACCGGGTGACAAGGTTGTAGATAGCCCACTCGAATGGCGTGTTCCAGTAACTTCGCTATCGCATTTCGTGTCATCTGACATTTCCCCGTAAAGAAGATAAGAGCTGTCATCTGACAGCAGATGGGAAAAATGATGAACTCACTCCAGCAGCAAGGTTTGAGCCAGTCTATCTTGCCCTAATGTCTTGAATGCAACCTCACTAACTTCGGGATGGTGATGCTACTAGCTATGACATTTGATCAGATGAAAGGGCACGGTTCATTACAGAAAAGTAAAAAATAGACGGTATAGCCTTAGAGTGGCCCACTCAATATCAGGTGGCTCAATCTTACAAACCCATCGCTTTTTGAAAACTGGAATGGTGGCGCGCAGTCTGGCGGCTGCCAAACAGTCCCAGTTAGCTTATCATTATCTAATTCTCACTAATTGACCCTTCGTTTCGATTGTTGTTTCCCGTCGTCTTTCCTTTTCTTCTTGTCCCTCCTGGAACGACAGTAATCTAGAGATACAGAAATTTGCCTTGAGAAAACGTCAGTGAGCACTTTAAGGTATTCCACAGATCTTGACTCAGAGGAACTTGGACGGTACGTAAGTCGTTGCTCAATCATGAGTTCGCAATGCCGAGCGCAAACAGAGAGCCTAAAAAAATCTCCATAAACCAACGTGAATGTCCTTATCTCTGCTCAGCGTAACCCTACCATCCTTATCATATATTCCATCAAGCTTAACAACTGTCGTGAAAGTAACTGACATGGCGCGGAAAAGCTGATGAGCGAGCGGTCTCCCCTCATTCTTGTAGAACCTTCAATTAGATCATTCGATATAGCATATGAGATATGACCGTTAAAGATTAGATAGGTTCATATTTGTTCACACTGACAAGACTTGTCTGGCGGGATTCGACCAGCGGATCTTTACAGACAGAAACGACCGATAAGTAACAGCTCCACAGATAATGTTTTAAAAGCGAGAGGGCGGAAGACCGTTGAGCGAACATTTTAGGTAGTTGTATCCTTTATTCGTAGTTTGTAAAGACAAACATCATCACACATCATCACACATCATGGAAAAACAACATGGATCAGCAGATATCACGCAGGTGAGCTCTCAGAGTGAGTTGGGAGAAGTCCGTCCTCTAGGATCACTCAGAACCATCACATCTAAGCGAGCCGGCGAAGTCAACTACATCAATGCCAAAGAAGCTCACGACGATCGAGAGTTGCTGGCCGAAATCGGCTACAAACAAGAACTGCAAAGACATTTTAGCACCATACAAGTTTTTGGTGTGGCCTTCTCAATCATGGGATTGCTACCCAGTATTGCATCGGTGCTGGTGATCGGTTATGGTGGAGGAAATGTATCTTTAGTCTGGGGTTGGCTTATCAGTGGGTTTTTCATCTTGATGATTGGTTTGTCGATGTCTGAATTGGCTTCCGCTATCCCTACATCTGGAGGGTTGTACTACTACACTTACTACTATGCACCTCAAAAATACAAGGCAGTGCTGAGCTTCGTGATCGGTAACTCCAATAGTTTGGCTCTGGCTGCTGGTTTGTGCTCCATCATCTATGGTTTCGCGGAGGAGATCCTTTCTATCGTGGCAATCTCCAAGGGCGGTGAGTTTGAGATTACAAATGGCAAAACGTATGGTGTCTACGCCGCTGGTATTGCCGGTTGTTTAGCCGTGACGTCCGTAGCTACTCTGGGAATTTCCAAACTTCAGACGTTTAGCATCGTCTCGAACCTACTACTGATCGCTTTTTTCCTCATTGTTCTCCCTATCGGAGTGGCCAAGTCCGATTTCCCTTTCAATGATGGCGCTTTCATCTTCGGAAAATGGGAAAACGCAACTAGTTGGTCCAATGGATGGCAGTTTATGCTGGCTGGAATTCAACCTGCGGCATGGACCATTTGCGCATTCGATGCCTGTATTCACATGTCCGAAGAAGCTAAGAACGCCTCCAAAGCTGTTCCCATTGGCATCGTCGGTTCGATCTCCGTTTGTTGGATTCTGGGATTTTTGATCTGTATCGCCATTGTCGCATGTATGGGGCCCAGTATCGATGCCATCGTGAACTCAGCAACTGGAGCTCCACTTGCGCAGATAATCTACAACGCACTAGGCAAGAAATGGACAATTGCAATCATGACTCTTATAGCCTTTTGCCAGTTCATTATGGGATGCTCCATCTTGACTGCGATTTCGAGACAAATCTGGGCGTTTGCAAGAGACGACGGTCTTCCATTCTCCAAATTTTTCAAAGTTGTTAACAACAAGCTTTCCTCGCCTATCAGAGCCACTTGGTTTGCAGCATTTATCGCGTTGATTATTGGCCTACTGTGTCTAATTGGAGGAGCTGCATCTAATGCGTTGTTTTCCCTCGGGATTGCTGGTAACTACCTAGCATGGACGACTCCTATGGTTCTGAGATTGACGACCGGCAAAGATTTGTTCAGACCTGGTGCTTTTTACATGGGCCGCGTCCTCTCACCAATTGTTAACTGGACGGCGATTGCCTTCCAAACTTTTGTTATAATAATGATCATGTTCCCAGCCGATCCCGCGGGCTTGAATGCGCAAACGATGAATTACACTTGCGTTATTTGCGGTGGTGTTTGGTTTGGTAGCCTGATATACTATAAGGTGTACAGGCACAAGCTTTACAACGGTCCCAAATCCAACTTGGACGATACTGAGTTCGAAGACGCCGTTGGTCAAAACGTTCTTGACCAGATTCTATCGCACCAAAAAAGCGGTTAAAGCAGTTGGGAGCAGGCTTCCGATAGCAGGTTGGCTAAGGGAGGGATGAATAGCGTTTTTTGAATATGAACGTATGCGAATTGTGTATTTTTTACTCTACTTATAACTTAGGACTAATGTCAAGAACTTATTATATTATCTACGCGTTGAGACTAGTAGAGGTTCACACGGAGATGACAAATGTTTGTGACCCATTTTTAGAACAGCATTGTGTCCGTGTGAAAGGTGGATGAAAGTCTTGCAGCGGGCATGACTAAAGCTTTTGAATTTTACGAGCATTGTGCGTACTCAATAATTTCCGGAATAAGCTATTTTACTTGTGGAAGTCCCGGTGGACTACTCCGTTTAAGATTGAGGCAACTCCGGAGCACTTAAAATACAGTGATTGGCTCATGCCGTGGGTCCCTCAGCAGGGGTGAGGGGACGTTTAAGTCGACATAGTCGAAAAAGCTTGACTAGAGTGTGGAATAAGAGTGTTAGTGTCCAGGACTGGACAAAAATACGGCGAAGTTAATGAAGCAGAAATAAGCGGTGATGTTGACTTGCAAGATGCACACATCTTATAGCGAGTTTGCTTGTGCGAGAGCAGTCACGTGATTAAATGACAGCGACGGAATTGTGAAATTTGGACAAAAATACAAGTTGCTGACTCTCTATAAGCCTGAAGCTTAAAATCGCCTTTCATTTATAACCACGATTTCATCTCATAAGTAGCATTTTCTATTGCCACGTCACCCAGGTTCAGCTGAAAGCTTCTCAGTGATGTCAGTTAGGAGTCGTTAGTAAAAAAAAATGAGAAAGCGTCAAGCAACGAAGGCGTGACATTTACCGTCTACAGCAATTAATTATACAGCCATTGGCCGTGCGAAAGAGATGCATGAGCACGGACCTTTAATCCAGAATGATTGGTCCTAGTCTTGACTCCCCCAGCAATTCACCCTCGTATCACACGACGCACATGAACCTCCAATCATCTGACTCGCGAAGGCCAAGCTAGCCAAGAATCTTGTCAGGTGCGTGGAGTGTACTGGATGGCGATGTATCCTGGTGTATGGATGCACACAGGCTTAATTTCTCATTGTCTGGAGAACACCCTATCTGCTAATGCATCAACTCAATCCAATATGTGATGCCAAGGTTATCAAACGATTGTGTACGGAGGAAACAAGTCCATCTTGACCCCAAGGGCCACTCGACTATGCAACAAAAAGAAATAGCTTGGCCCCTCCCATGCATAATGGAGATTCATTTCCAAAAACCTGTCAGTGCGTCAACGATCGCGAATGGCACCACAGCAGGTCTAACACCATCTTAGACAGAGAACTCGCGTTCGTTCACCGTATTTCCTCTTTGCCAGTCATCGCCATAACCTTCCCACACAATCCTCGCCCTCTTGGCCCGGTTCTGTCTTTCACAACCCTGCCGGTTATTGGATGCCAAACTCCAGAAGTCGTGGCATGCATGCTGGGCGTCGCATGCACGGCTCTAATTGCTTGTTTCTTTTTCAGCCCGTTGGGCATCGAATTTCATGTGCCTAGTATTTTTCGTCACCCGTTTCTTAGCTACCGTTGAAAGTACCTCTTTCCTCTGGGTTTTCACGTTTACTTTGTCTGCGCTACTTCCCATACCACTCTTTCACTAGTACCTTGGTGGTTAAAGACAGATTTTTTTTCATTAGGCCCGCATACGGTATACAAGGTTTATTGCACTACAATGGACGACAGTGCACATATAAGAACCGCGAGAGCGTATGGCCAAGAAGAAAGGAGTTGTAAGAAATGTATTTTTTCTCGGCAAGCCAAGATCTACAGGAAAAAGGCCTTCAAGTAAAAATTGAATAGTCGTGTTGTTCATTTGTTCATATTCTTTGACTTTTTCGTTTTTCTCTCAGACCTACCCAATAGTAATATAATAGAAAAATGTCGTCTAGTCCATGGTGGATGCAATGGAACCCAGATGATGTTCCAATCAGCTCTGACGAAGTGAGTGACGCATGGAAAGTCTGTGTCATCAACGGTGTTTATTTCGGCGGAAATGATTACAGTGGATCGCTAGGTGCACGTATTTCTTCGGTGATTGTCATCTGGTTCGTGTCAACCTGGTTCACACTTTTCCCAGTCATTGCAACAAATGTTAAATGGTTGAGAATTCCTCGTTACGTGTACTTGTTTGCACGTTATTTCGGTACCGGTGTGATTGTCGCCACGGCGTTCATCCATCTTTTGGACCCTGCCTACGGTGAAATTGGAGCCAACACGTGTGTCGGCATGAGCGGTCATTGGGCCGACTACTCGTGGTGTCCAGCTATTGTCCTGCTCACCGTTTTCATCGTGTTCTTGGTCGACCTCGCCAGTGATGTGTTCGTGCAGCGCAAGTTTGGTGTCAAGCACAGCCACGGCGGTGACAACATCGAAAACACAATCGTAAGTTCCAAGAAAAACAACGCCAAGGGTGACGCACACCTTGCGGACCTAGAAGGTGAAGGCCACATGAACGCTGGCATCCCAGATTCCGATGAAAAGAGCAAAAAATCCTACGACGTTGTTTCTAATGCCAGCACCGAGCTCGTTCTTCAGTCTTTCGAGAGTCAGATTGCTGCATTCTTGGTCCTGGAGTTTGGTGTCATTTTCCACTCCGTCATGATCGGTTTGAATCTCGGAACCACTGATGATGAGTTCAGCACCCTATATCCAGTGCTTGTGTTCCACCAATCTTTCGAAGGTCTAGGTATCGGTGCCAGACTCTCAGCCATTGAGTTCCCTAAAAACAAGAGATGGTGGCCATACGCCCTGTGTATTGCCTACGGTCTTGCCACTCCCATCTGTGTCGCTATCGGTCTAGGTGTGAGACACACCTACTCTGGAAACTCGTACACTGTCAACGTTGTTTCCGGTGTCTTGGACGCCATCTCTGCCGGTATTCTAATATATACTGGTCTTGTGGAGCTGTTGGCCCGTGATTTCATCTTTGACGAAGAAAGAACAAACGATATTCCAAAACTGCTCTTCATGGTTGTATGCACTCTTTTCGGCGCGGGTCTCATGGCCCTACTAGGAAAATGGGCATAAGTTCATTGCATGGGTTTTATTGAAATTTAGCTGGAAGTGAATGTTTTATGGAGACTCGTCTCAGCAGCTTCGAATTTTTACAGTACACAGTTCTGTTGCGGGAGTTGGATTTACAATGATTCCTGTATTCTAAGATGATAAAACACTCTTGCATAGCAAGACGGAGACGTTAAAGGTACATAGTGGTAATTAATCGATGAATTATTGAAAAACCGGATCTTCAAAAAATGTCAACGTCTGAGGTTTGTTCACGACTTTCGGGTGGCCCTTCAAGGCGGTCTTCGGAATTTTTGGCCACTTGCTTACTCGCTCAAGTACATCTTGATGTTTCCAAAACATGTTTTTGGTGGTAGAAATATATTAACTTATAATAATCACATTAATAAATGGCCTATGTTCCTTCTTCTAGAAACATGTGCATCTTTATACCTAGTCTCTCTTTTTT